AAAACTGTCTCCAAACCATTTCCTCTTTCTGTGAGAGGTAGTGCTGAACCAGAAGACAAACACAGCTTGTTGCATTCGATGAGACTCTGCTTCAGCTCCTTTGGGCTGTGTTTTGGGGGGGTAGAACTGGGATTTTTGCTCTGTGATAATTTGGGGCTGCTCTAAGTGCTGTGAGCTGGAGCAGCAGTGTGGAAGGTGGGAAGCTGGGATAAGGTGTATGGAGTGCACAGAAAGGAGGTAGATCTCAGTAGTGCATCCATCCCTAGGGGTGAATGAGGTGTGGGGGCAGCAGGCCAAGCTCTGCTGGCATGGCTAGGTGAACTGGGACCAAACTGCATTGCTGCATGCAGCCACGGGTCAACCTCAGCAAATGTTCTTACCTCACTCTGTGCCAAAGCAAAGGTGCAGAGATGGGGGTGTTCTGTGCCAAAGCAAAGGGCTCTGTGGCAGCAATGACTACGACTTACCAGAAACTGCATGCTGACAGAAGCCAGTTTCCCTTTTTCTGATGGGTTTTACTTCAAAACCCCTCTCTAGGTCCTCGCCTGTGCGTTTTGGGGTGGGAAGACAAGGGGCTGCATGCAGCTAGGGAGCAAACCTGCTTGGGGCCACCTGCTTGAGACTCTTCTGGAGCAAAGCACCTGCTTTGAGATCCCAAACTGAGCTGAACCCTCATCTGCAGAGAAAAATCACTTCACAGCTGGGATGCCTGAAGCCTTGAATCCCCTTTGAATTTCCCGAGCTGTTTGTATGAAGCTGTGCTGGTAACAGATGGATGTTTAGACACAGTGATTCAGGTGAATGTGGCATTAAAATATCTGGGGAGCCAGAAAGCCTGCTTCTATGGAAGCTTCTTGACAGGATTAAATCCTATTTCCCCACTCTCTGCTGGTGGTTAGCAATGCGGGATGCTTAGGATGCTCAACACACAGGAGGGGATGCGCTTTGGCAGCTCCAAGTTCACAGCAGGGGAAGGATTGCTGTGCTGTGATTTCTGCCCAGAGCTCTGCTTTGAGTGCAGGTAAATGAAGGTCAGGGCTGTGACCTTACTCAGGGCTGTGCACGTTCAGCCCTTTCTGCACCGAGTGGGTGTGCAGTGAGCCCCTCCAGTCTGCAGCTGAGCCAGGGTTACTGAGCACAGCTGAGCAAAAATGTCACCCCAAGAGCTCCAGAGAAAGCAGAAATTCAGTTGTTGTTTTTTTTTTCCCCCCCCCTAAATTAGCCCAGTGAAGGCACTGCGGGGTTTCAAAATGTAATCTGTTCTCAAACTTCCTTAAAAATTTGACTGCATCCTTCATTAAGCTTTCTTTCCCTAAGGCTGAGGAGGGAGGGCAACCACCTCCCAGTGCTGATCTTTGCAAGTAACTGCTTTTGTTTCAGATGATTTCAGAAGGCTTCTGAACAAAACAAAAAACACCCCCATAGACTTTAGGTAAAAGGTCTAAGAAATTGCTTTTGGAACAGATCAGCACGTCTTTTTGTGCCTTATCCCTCATATCCATCCTATTTATAATCATTAAATGGCTCCTTAAGTTGTGCCACCTGAGAAGGAATTTTTTAAGTACTTCAGTATGGAGAGGATACAGACTTAAAGGGTGCCTGGCTTTGTCATTCAGGACAGCAGAGCTGTTGCATTCTGTGCTGGTCTCATTGTTGGCACATGCTCGGAGTAACCTGGGAGGGGGATTTGGGGAGGCAAAAGCAACCGAGCCCAGGAACCCAAATAGAGCTGCAACAAGCCTAGCGCTGGGGAGGCTCAGATTGGGGCTGGTACGAGGGAAATGCCTTTGTATGGAGAAGATGGAGCCCTTCCGAGCTGCTCTGACAGATCCTCATCTGCCTTCTGTTGGAGGCTGCCTCCCCCTAGCGAGTGCGAGCAGAACCCGCAGGCAGCAGTAGTGCCTTCAACCCTGTGCTGCGAGAGCTGCAGGTGCTGTGCATGCTATGGATGCAGTGCTGTGCTTGCATCTCGGTGCTGTGCATGCACATCAGGTGGTGTGCTGCATGCATCTCAGGTGCTGTGCTTGCACCTTGAGCATTCTGCTTGCATTTTGGGTGTTGTGCACTCCCTGGATATCTCCTTTTCCTTGTGTGCTGTGCACATTACAGCTGTTAGTTTAATCAGAGCATCTGAATTGAGGGTGCAGCAACTGTGCTTTGTTACATAGGGAAGAGTGGCAATGCCCAGGACAGCAGTGCAGACTGTTCTTGTCCTTGCAAGAGGTCTGCAAGTACACAGGTAAGTGAGCAGCATGAATTTATGGTGAGCTAGTTCTCTGCATCGAGTGGCTGCTGTGTTTTCCATCCCATCCGATGTCCCCCAGGCAGGATTTGCTGTGCAGTTGGATATTTGTTTGCTGTTAAGGGCATGCTGTCATCCAACGAGCTGTATGATTTCACTGCATCCTCAAGGGCTCTCCTGCAGCTCTAGCTCCTCCAGGCTGCTTTAACAAACAGTGCAGGCAGAACAAAGCTGCACCACCATCCAAGGGTGCTCCGTGCACATCTGAAGGGAAATTTATTTCCCCAGCAGCAAGGATTGAAGTTCTTGCTTTTTGCTGCCCAGGGCAATAAAGGCTGCTGGAGGTTTCATAAGAAGATGCTCTCTTCTGTGCCTGGGGAGGTGGGTTTGTGCCTATCTGAGAAGCGTGGCAGCTGCACTGGGCCCCTGAGGAGCAAGGGAATAAGAGAGGATGCATAGGTAAGAGAGCTGATGAATGGCATCAGACTGCAGTGGTTGTTCTGATCTCACATAGGGAAAGAGCAGGGTGCACTGCACCAAAGGCCAAAATAAGTGAGCTGAATGTGTTGTAAAAGTGGAGTTTGCAGCTGCCAAACAGCAGTGTTGCAGAGCGTGCTCGGCTAATTCGGCTGGTTGCTGTGAAAATCAATATTGTGGAGCAATAAAAGCCACAAGGCAGCTTTGCTTGTGTCAGGATTGTGGGGTACGAGGTGCCCTCTGCACTCCTTACAATGGGGATCTTTTTCTGTTGTGCTTCTGCCCTGTTTGCTACAGGCCCAGTGTCAAGCAGAACTCCATCCAGCCTCCATCCAGCATAGCAGCAATAAACCCACTGCACCCATGTCCTTCCCACCACACATCCTAGGGCTGCTTTCCTTCCCACCTCTCCTGGGCTAATGGGATCAGCCACCAGCCAGGGCTTTCACTTCAAAGCCTGCTTGCCCCCCTGCCCTTGTTTTGCTTTGCTCTACTGCTGAATTTCCTCCCTCCTTGAAGATACGTATCTCCCCCTGCCCTTATACAGCACCTATTACCCTGCTACCTACGTGTCACACTCCTGTGACCCCCACTAAATCTCCCAGGGATGGAGAGGTCTGCAGGGCCGATAGTGACAGTCCCATAGGTGCCATATAACAGCGAGGGGGCTGTTTCCACCAAAGGGTCCCTGACACACAGCAGAGCCCATACATCAGCTGGGGGCTTTGATTCAGATAGTGATCTGTGGGGGGATCACCCTGATTAACAGCCAGGGCTGGAGTTTATGGCTCTGGTTTCCCCCTGATGATTGCGTTTTGGCATCTGAGGGAACAGCAGCAGCAGCACAGGGTGATGGTGTGCTGCAGGAGATCCTCTCCTGGGAGGAAATGAGGAGTAAAGGGGGGTTTTCCATCTTGTTCCCACCAGAAAAATAGAAAAATAGCAATAATTTTATTCAAAATTGTTAGGGAAGCCTATTTCATCTAAAATTAAGGTAAGGTAAATAGAAGAAAATGGCATATAAAAACTTCTTGGGTACACAGTATTCCTGCTTTTCTCCCTCCCATGCATTGCAGTATCTGTTCTTGTGCTTTTGTCCATGGGACAGAAGTAGTACAGGGGATAGGGAGAAGAATTTGGATGTTTTATGGGGATATGCAGCAGAAAGGTGCAAGCATCTGCTGTGTTATGCTGTATGGAGTTGTGATGTGGGTATAACTGCATCTACTGAAGGATTCACTGGAAGGAGCATCCCTTTGCAATGCTTTCCAGTGCAGCAAAAGGGGCTGTTCTGCATTTAACCCAGACCCCTATCCATGCATTTAGTGCTCGGTCGCACTTTGGTTTACTTGCTTTCTTCCCATTGCGAACCTCTGAGCATCACTGCAAGCGTCACCAAACCTTCAGGGCTCAGAGCTGCACCTGCATTGCTTGGAGAGCATCTCCGGGTATGGGAATGAGCATCTGCAGATCCCATTGCAGAGCTGCTTTGCTCATCCCTGCGAGCATCACCAAGCCCTCCTCCTCCGAGCGGTAGCTAACCGTGTTCCCAAACACTATCTGCCGTTATTGCATTAATTACAGTAATCTAATGGGAAACATAAACAGGAAGGCTGAGGGGGAGATAAGGGGCGCGGTGCAGCGGGGTGCGAGGCAGGGTGAGAAGCTCCCTCTGGTGCAAGGAATGGGGTTCAGAGGAAAGTTCACTTCCCAGCTCGCGGCTGGCGGCCGCTCAAACGCGTTAATGAGGGCGGGCCGATAGCCATAGGGACAGCGTCCTCGTTCCCTTCCCCTCTTGGTGACAGTCACATTCCTCAGCCTGAAGTTCAGCTGCGGAGGGATAACGCCTTCGGTGCATGAATGAGCTGCTGTACTGTCCAAGAGCTGTATTGTAACTATTATTATTATATTATTACTATTATTACTTTCAATCCCATCCAAGCTGAGCTGCTTTGCTCTGAAGCCCTCTGATCTTCTTCTGATTCCACCTCTTGAGTCAGGTAGGTGTGTGAGGAGGAGAGGAAGAGAGCGAAATTTCTG